ACGATGACAGTTTGAAGATAGAGCAAACAATGAGTGTTGAGCACTTCAATCCTAAAGACAAACACAGTCCTGGGATGATTCCTTTGATTTGTTCAGCTTCTGCTATCGCTAGAGGTTACTCATCACTTGTACAAACACCCAGGATGTTCCTGGCATTGGTCACAGGTAAAGAATAGGTGGTAGGCGATGGTGGTTCTGGTGTAACTGGTGCTGGGACACATCATCTCTTGCTTGAGTGCTTGAAAGAGAAAACCTCTGTCTCTCTCTTTCCAGGCTTCTTCCTGTAAGGAGGTAAGATCCAGAGACCCAGAGGACATGGCAAAGTGTTCATCCTGCCCCTCTGGTTTATTTGTCAGGGCTTTGCAGTTTGGGTATCCTGCAAATCCTTTGGCAACGATGGGAGCCAGGCTGTCCGGCTGCTGCCAGGATAAGACCAGTTGTAACAGTTGGGCAGGAGCAGCATCGCGCAGAAGACATCTGCAAGGAGGCATCTGGTGGTTGAAATGGGTCAGATATCTGCCCCCCAATCTTGTCTTCAGGGCTTAACTGTAAGAGGACAGGCAGTGCCATGGTTAAGGCCCCGAGACATGGGATGGGGGATTCAGGTCTCAGCTTTGCTATGCAGTCTTCCTGCAACCTGGAGCAGATCACTTGGGTCTAGATGCAACAAGGATCTGGGCCACAGGGTCATGTTTATTCTCACTCTCTGGCCCCGTGATACTCACGGTCTCAGGTTGACAGCAGCCCAGCATCAACCAAGGGGTTAAAGGAGCTCCCACTCCATCTCTCCGGGGATTATGGAGCGTATTTACTTGTTAAGTGCTTGGCAGTTCTTGGAAGCAAGACACACAGTGGGATTTGTAGGTAATGTCATGGGACTGACATAAAATACAGCATGGAAAAATCTGTAACCCAGCTCATTCCCTCATCTGAGGGACACACTGTGACCCCAGCAACTGGGTGCATAGTGATACCGACTCTCTCCAATCGAGATTTCGGGTTGCCGATGAGTAAAACGAGGTGCTTAGCCTTGCTAGGAGATCCGTGCAGCAGCTTAGAGGATCTCCTTTTCAGCAGGTCGAAGCTAAGCACTTCGTAAACACTTTCGAAAATCCTGACCTGACGGTATTTCCTCGGTGGAAGGATCCTATAGCATAGTTCATGCGCTCTTGGCAATGCAGGGTTGTTCTCCCAGTTCAAAGTCCTCTGTGATGTGGAGGGGAATTCCTCCAGCATCCACATGTACCCTTGGCCATGAATTGTTTGTTTGCAATAAAAGCAACCAAGTTCTGTGCTTGCAGATGGGGGTGCATTTTTTTATTTTTTTTTCTGGGCATGTTTTTTGGTTTTTTTTTTCTTCTGGGCATGCATTTTCTACAAGCATTTCACAAATCCAAGTGATTTCAAATCTGTGCTTTCTTCATGCAATTTTCAGGGTGCCTTGAGTGGCTCATTGAAAACATGTCTGAGCTGCTTTTTGTTGGCCTCGTGATCTAATAAAACATGAATCTGTTCAGCTCACAGGCATCATTTTGTCCGCCTACATCCACAGCGTTGACTCATGACTACCTGGTTTTACTGACGTTTCCCCTCCTGATAAATGCAGGCTGCGTTTTGAACGTCTCATGCTGTCTGAAGCACGTGAGACCCCCCCGTGCCCCTGGGATGTGGTGGCTCAGCATCTCCGAGTGGGTTCAGGATAGGACACGGGCAGGAGTAACACTAGGAACAAGCTTAAAAAAACCCAGACCAACTGTATCCAGTATTTCTTTAAATCCAACGTATTTCCACCTGCCTCATGCAGCACGTCTGGTTTTTTTTTTTTTTTTTTTTTAATATCCTGAACGAGGCAGTCTGCCAAAATCCTGTATCAGATGGTTCTTCCCACAAAGGCTGTGTGAAAAGGTGATCACAGGTGATGGCAGATGCAGAAAAGCAGCTCATTGGCTTCAAATCAGACAGAAATAAAAGATTACCCCCCCCAAAAAAAGTGTCCACATTCCTGGGGAGACTTCTGGGTTTTGTTGATTTTTAAATGCTTTAAATGGTTTTGAAAGCAAAGTGATGGGTTTCAGATGCATTTGCATTTTTATTTCCTTTCTTGAAAAAGCAAAGGCTCTGCGGCGTGAGGGAGGGAAGTTTAACATACCACATTTTGGGTTGCTGCTGAATTAAAAGCAAGAAATCTTTCCCCGAACAGAAAACAACACATTTTTCTAGCTGTTTGCCACAACAGCAAGCAACCTTTTAACCCCATTCCCAGAGCAGTAAAACAATTTTGAGGGACTAGAGCTACAGAGAGGGGGAAAAAAAAAAAAAGAAAGAAAGAAAGAAAGAAAGAAAGAAAGAAAGAAAGAAAGAAAGAAAGAAAGAAAGAAAGAAAGAAAGAAAGAAAGAAGGCATTTTTCTAGGCTTTACTCCTCTTGAGGAATTAGTCTGTATTTTGTATTCTTCAGTCGTTGGAGGTTTTCCTCTGAGACTCATGATCTGAACCCATTAAGTAAAGTAAATCCAGATTAGAGCCTCTTGCAACAGAAATACTGGAAAGATCATGAGGGAAGTGGTTGGAGGAAGAGACAGGCAGGAGGACAATACCGAATCACTACACTTTTATTTTTGACTGTATTTTCCAATCTGGAATTTCCATAAATGTCCCCAAAAGGTTGAAATTTGAAATTTCTGCAAGAGAGGCAATGAATTTATCTCTTTTCCTTGGCTTGTTTCTCAAATCAAAACCAGTAGTGGACATGATGGAAGGAATCATGCTGTGTTGTTTTAGCTTTAGATTATTTTTTTGGGGGGTGACACTTTGGGTGCCCCCCAGTCCTAGCATTTGTGCCTCCAGCTGACCCAGTCCCAAGCTGCAGAGTCCAAACCCAAACGTAGTTTGGCTTGACTGACTGATCCGGGCACTCCTCTTTTTTTTTTTTTTTTTTTTTAATTAAGTTTTCTCCTGGCCTGTGTTGCATCAGAGGAGTTTTAATCCTCCAAATAGCTCTGTGCGAGGCTGAAATAGGATAAAAGTTTCTCATCTTATGACATTGCACTCAGAGACAGCTTTGGCCTCTCGAGATGAGAGCTCTCATCACACTGAGACCCCCGAATAGCCCCAGTTGTAAGGACGCCTATGAATTATTACTCTTAATGTCACACGTAACCCAAGCCCAGGTGCTGACCTCTCCAGGGCTATATAGGTCCCTGAGGGATCAAGAACACCTTCCAGTGTGTGAAATAAAACTGAACTCAAAGGAAGCCAATTATATGTAACCAACACACCCCTCTGACCCCTCTTCTCCAGCACTGCGGTCTTCCTTTGCGTTTGGGTCTGGCATGCCCCTGACCACCCCATCAGCCCTCAAACAGCTCCAACATGCTCCTCCTCATTTCTCCCTGGGATTTCTTTTCCTGACCACCCGTTTTCTACCTTTTCTCTGTTTCAGGATGGCATCACCAGTCAGGAAGTTGAGGGGCCATCCCACCTCCGAAGTAGGTGTGTCTCTGGCATCAGAGGCATCGCCATGCCAGGTCCCCAAAGGGGAAGAAGACTAAGGCCTCTGTGGACAATACACACCTTCTAATGCGGCTTCTCCATCAGGTTTGGGCAGAGTCATGTCACTCCTACAGACCCAGCCCCTCTTGTCTGTACCAACACTTGCCATCCTTGTCCATGCCATGGACCGGACCTTGCCTCCTGCTCATTTCCTGCAACCCCACAATAACACCACATCCAACCACCCATTCGACATCTCCTCAACCAACAACAGCACCTTTTTTTTTTTTCCTTTTCTCATTGTCGTAAGATCTTGTCTTCACCCCTGGAGACCTCCCCCATCCTAACAGCACACTGTTGCTGTGTCCCTGGGGACATCCCCATCGCTCCCCTCCAGCACTGATCCCCATCAGGATGTTTGCAGAAGGTCATGACGATGTTGCTGGGACCTGTGGGTGGTATGGCCAATAACAGGGAAGGAGAGGAAAGTGTAAGCAAAAACAACTGGACTTAGGGTAAAGCTTGGATGGTGTTGAACAACGAAAGGACGTGAGACAATTATTTTTATTTTTCTGGTGCCTGCTTAGTCACCTCTGTCCTTAATTATGGACAAAAGGAAAAGTCTATTAATACAAAGCAAGCAAGAAATTATAGCAAGTGACCTGCTTTATTTGACTGTATTAAGTGTGGAATTACAGGAGTGTTTAGAAATGTCATAAGGACTCCATCAAACTCTTCCCTGTTGCTGCTTGTTTTCTGGGAATGGGAGGGATTTGCAGTGGGCCATTCAGATTAAGAATCTGGTGGAGTAATTTGATCAGGCCAGGAGGAAAGGTATAAAAGAAAATAAAATGCAATGGTGACCCTGGTGTTGTCAGTTGAGAAACAGCTCTGTGTGTTTTCCTTGTTAAATGGAATTCTTGCAGCTGCGGTCACAAAAATCCCAGGTGCAATGAAGTGCACATGCTCTGCAGGATTTTTGGGGGCTCCTTGGAGGTGGGGAATGGGACATGGTGAAGAGAAAGAGAATAGAAGGGAGAAAGAGAGAAGAAGGTGATGGTAAAAGGGCTCTATAGGGGCGATGTAAAGCTGACCTGAGCAGATGGCTTCCTGCCACCTACAACTTCCACGTTACAAAATCCAATTAAGTACAGAGTTTAATAAAAGTTCTGGCTATCAAGAAGCAGCCAGCTATTTAAAGCTTTGATCACCTGCCAGACGTGGCTTTATGAGCCATATTTCCTGTCCCAAATCACTTCTCCCGTCTCCAGGCCACGCTCTCTCCCTAGAAAATGGCCTTGTTTGGAAAATGAAATGCAGTGACTGTCCTGCCATAGCTGGTGACTAGTCCAAGGTGTTCCCATGCAGGTGTGTCTGGCCTTAAATTAATAAAATTATAAGCGGGATTCCTGGAGTCCAGGTAGGGCGAACACTTTGGATGAGCCTTTGCCCTTTATAAATGTTTTATTTCTTTTGCCCCAGTGGGGTACGGCATCACGTTCCTGCCAAGGGTGCCCAACACCATCCCAGGAGTATAAGCTTTCTGATAAACTGTGTTTCAGGCAGTGAGAAAAGAGCTCAGCGCAATTAAAGACATGAAGAGCACCAAGCAAACAATGATCATTGGTTGATCGAGACAAATTATATTAAAAAAACCAAACAAACAAACATATGCATTCAGTAGAAATTATGGCTCATCATTCCATTTCTGAATGAAAATAATGTAAAGGAAACCTTCAATACTTCCTATCTGCCTGGAAATACTGGCCTCCAAACCAGACTGGAAGTGTGAGATTTCTGCTGGGGAGTTTCAATAGTGCTGACCACAGATGGGATTTTTTTTTTCTTCTTCTTTATATCTCTTATGTATCCTTCAGGAAGAAAAAAAAAAAAAAAAAGAAAAAAGAAAACTCTGGCCTTATACCCATACAAATGCCGGGAAAATCAAATTCTTCCCCCTACGCTGTCCAGACCATATGTTAAATGTGACTAAGTTGAGGTTGTGAAATGGTTCCAGAAACAGGGAGAAACTTGGAGCTCGATCTCCATGGTTTCACCTTCTTCGAGGAGCTCTATATAAATTCCAGGTGCCTGTCTTCTGGGATGTTGTATTTAGCTTTGTGCTCCTCAAAGAGCTTGCTCAATTCTTTTAGGTATTCCTGATGGACTCGATCGACCTCTTCGTTGGAGGGTCTGTGCTTCCTCTGCACTGGAATGGGCTTCCCAACTGGAAAGCAAGCACGGATGTTAGGAAGAGCCAGTGTCAGGTCCCTCTGAACACTGTGCACACCTTAGCACGGAGCTGGGGGTCCACCTCTCCACGGACGCGATGGACGGACCGATATGATCAGTCATGTCCTGGAGTTTGGGAGGTAGCACAAGGACGTAGGGACATAGAGGTTCAGATCCTGGCTCTGCTGTTTCTCTCCAAGGTCACATCTCTCCTTGCCTCAGTTTCCCCATCTGCAAAGTTGGTTAATGCCAAAGGTCCTCTGTGTGGCTCTTTGAAGTAAAAATTACTGCATCCCAGTGCAGCCCCCACAGCTGCTCCCAACATCTCAGACGTGCTGCAGATAAAGACATCATCCTAATAGTTGGGTTGGGCTTTCCAATCTGCTCCCGCATAGCTCTGAGAATCTGCATTGCAAATGGGGAAACTGAGGCCAGGGAGACCCCAAGACTATCTAAATACACTAGTGATTGGAGTGCTTCCATTTTGCTCAAATGAAAGGTTCTGTGAAACACCTGATTTTCACTAGGAACCAAGTACCCACTTTAGAAAATTATTATTTTTTCAAGGGCAAATCTATTTAATTCGATTCTTGGCACTAAAAGAAGCCCCTTCCCGTCTCCCAGAGACACCAGGTTCCTGCAAGGGACAGGGAAGTCCATGAGGTACCTCTCTTGCTCTGGTGTCTTTATTCAAACTGTGTTTTTCTCAAGGGATGGCAGGTTTCATCATTGTGTAACGCTGCTCCTCATCAGACTAATGAAGAGCCCTTGTGATACTGCACAGCTCATAAAACCATTGAGACAATCAAAACAGGCTGTAAAACAATTAGAAGGAATTGCTGGCTGTCAAACTTAATCAGTGGGGCAAGCTCTGACCTTCCCAAAGAGCCTCTTTAATTAGACTAACACAGAGCATCAGCCGCACTGGTGGGCCAAGCATGGAGTTGTTGAAACCAGGCAAAACTTCTTCAAATCCAAATGACTTTCTTGAAATTTGGTCTCCTACGGGCACGGTCTCTGGTCAATATGGCTTGCCCTGCTCGCCCACAGATAGGTTGGGGTTTGTGGCTGTGTCTGCACTGAGCAAACCTGCAAACTGCTTACGTGTTGTCCTACTTGTGTTTGTAAGATTGGCTTGCTACAAGTTTGACCCAACATTATTGAAGTGGTTCGTATCTCTGGGCTGTGCTGGGGTTGGGTGCACCCTACAGGTGTTGTGACGTGACCGTCTTTCTTCTGAGGCTTTCCCAGCGCAGCCCAGATCGTAAGATCAAGTCAGAGTCCCAAACCAGTGTGACACTTGAGCAGTTGCATGGAGATGCTCCTTTGCTAACAAGCCCATGACACCTTGTGCTCTCTGGCATGATGCTCCAGCCCATCAGGAGGATGACACAACCCAAGGACTGTCCCCAGTCCCCACTTTGGCCAGGCTGGTGCCTGGCATCGTGCTGGTGTGCTAGGGAAGGACTTACCCACAGTGCAGATGGGCCGCCGGTAAGGTACCAGCCCGAAGCTGTACTGGAAGATGCCTCGTGCGTGGAAGAGGGGAAGGGAGATGCCCATGATCTGCTGGAGCCGGTGCTGGAGCGACCGCAGCCAGGAGCCCTTGGGGTTTCTCACCTGGTCAAAGAGGTCGTTCTCCCCAAAGGAAAAGATGGGGACCAGTGGGGTGCTGTGGGGAGATGAACCCCATGTAGGTCCATGAAGATTAGCAAAGCCCACCCCAAAACACCTTCCCCCCTTCTCCAAAACCAGCAGGAACACCCCATTAACCAACCACAGACAAGAACACCCCTACCCAAGCACTCCTTGACCCCATCCCCTGCGTCACCCGTGCTCGATGGCCAAGCGGACAAATCCCTTCCTGTTCTTCAGCAGCAAGGTGCAGGATCCTGGCCGGGCATCCAACGCCTCCTGCGCCCCACCAACGATGATGGCCAGCATGTTCCCCCCCTCCCGCCTCTGCAGCACGTAGGATGCGCTCTCCTTGTCGGAGGAGACAAGACCTGGGGGGCAGAGAGGAAATAAAAATGAGCGTCTGTAAAACCCACGTGACTTGGTTGGCTCCGTACCTTTTTCCCCCCATTATTCAGCTCTGGAGAGGGGTGATAGACACTTTATTTTCAGACTTTTTCTACACTTTGGCAATCTCAGCCCAGCTCCCCCCGAATGGTGCTGGATTCATGCACAGTTCTGCTGTGTGAATATACAATTATCCCTTTGCTGTCTGGCCCAGAAGGGACAAACAGGAGAAAAATCAGGAAAAAAGTAAACTTAGAACTTGAGCTCCAGGAAAAATCTGTTTCGGTTTGTTGTCAAATGAAACTGTGTCCAATGCTAAGTTATTCTTAAGTCAGGGAAACAATTACTTGAAGTCAAAACACACACAAATTTCAGTGGATGCTGCTTTTTTGAAGTGGGATTTGAAGCAGAATTTGGTCCCTCAACGTTATTTGCTTGCAAAAGTGAGAAATCCTTAATTCAGAAATGACAAAACAACGTTGTTTTGATTTAAAAAAAATAAATAAATAAAAATCCTTGTTTCAGGGGCTGAAATAATTTACAGATTAAAACCTTTTTGTCAAATGGATTCAATCGACCTGAAAATGAGCCACGCACCGAACTCCCACATTACAGTGATTAAACCTTCTTTTGCCTGGGCCATAACTCTCCGATTGTTATGATTCCTCGCTCTCCGTGTAAATATTTTTTCAGCACCAGAAGCCATAATTTATGTGGAAAACAGGGCGATGACTGCCCTGGGGTACCTCAGAGGGAGCTGGATGTCTATGTTTAGTCTATTGAATCCTGCCCACGACATGAGCCCGTTTGTCTGGAGAAGCGGACAGTCCCCAAGCCCACCGGTGAGAGATGGAAGTCAACTCCTGCCTGTCTCCAAAAATCTCTCTAGACTCCCTTTCCCCTCTCTCCATTTAAATTTTTTTCCTACTCCTTTTCATTTCTTCTTCCTCTCCTGCCATGTAGTTTTGCAACAGCATGAGCTGCTATTTGCACCCTCTCTCCCGGGATGCTGCTTCCCTGCAAGCAGAAGCAGCTTTGGAAAAACAGGTTTTCTCCTTCTTTTAGTGGCAACCACAATTTCAAGCTTGAATGTTATTTGCATGGAATGAAAGAAACACAGGACCACCCTGCACTGCTGCTCTCAGCATTCCTGCTCACAATTTGCTCTGCGTTTTGCTGTTACACAGCGCCTGGCACAGTGATGCCCCGAGCTCAGCGGTGATCTGTGAAGTTGAACAACAGAGATAACAGCTAGGAGGACAAATTTTTAACTTCAGAGAGTTTTTGGGTGCCACTTCCAGTAGCTGTGTCCATGCATGGGATCCAACCAGCCACAGATCACAGAATCAACTAGGTTAGAAAAGACCTTGAAGATCATCCAGTCCAACCATTAACCTAACACTGACACTTCCCAACTACACCAGATCCCTCAGCACTATGTCAACTCTACTCTTAAACCCTTCCAGGGATGGGGACTCCACCACCTCCCTGGGCAGCCCATTCCAACACCCAACAACCCCTTCTGCAAAGAAATGCTTCCTGATATCTAGTCTAAGATATAGTCTAAGACAAACAGACCCTTGAGTCCCCAGAAAAATCACCCACCCATCCCATTGCTTGCCAGAGGGTTTGGCCTGTGCTGCTGCCCTGCTTACCTCCACTCATCAGATAGTCCCTGAAGAACGGGATACGAAACCACAGGGAGAGCATCATCAGGTGCGGGGTGATGCCTGGGAAGAGCGTGGAAAAGCCCGATGCCTCTGTGCAGAAATTGAGAAAGGCTCCTGCTGCCAGGACCCCGTGGGGATGAAATCCCATCACGTAGTTCTGTCTAGGGTCCAGCTCTGCCGTCTTCACCAGCTGGACAGAGATGGAGTCAAAAAAGGGCCATGAGTTAGTGCTGTCACCATGGGGGGATGGAGCATCGGCTGTGGGGAGCAGATAGGGGGCTCCTGGCTGGGGATCCATAGCACCCACCGCACCTTTGTTGGGAAAAGTCAACTGGAACATCTCAATCAATTTTCACTGAGATGTATTTCATTGCCTGCATGTCCAACTCCTCCTGTCCATTGGACCAAAATGACTTTTCCAATGGCACAGGTCCTCGTGTTGCCTTGAGCTGGCCTTGATGCTGTTGGGAACCTACTTTGTTTAAAACGTCCTCCAATACATTTTCTAATATGTGAAAAAAAGCTAAAAAGTGAGAAAACGGTGATTATTTCCACAGGACCCCCCCCCTCCACCCCACAACCAGAACAGCAAAGAGAGTGCAGAATCACTCTGGTAACGATCCCTGTAAAGCTGCTACCTGGCGCAGTGACACATCCCCGCTCAACAACACGGCGTGGACCCAAGGTTTGCCCTGTCCTGAAGTACATGTCGGGTGAGTCAAGGATGCTTTTGTACATCACAAGGTGAGATCCAGCTCCATACATCTTACAGAGAGCAAGCTGATGGTTTTCTTTCCGCTGGGGAAAGCCAGCAAGAGCCCAGTCACTTGTGCCTGTGTTAGGTGCCCAGGTAATCCCAAGTCCATCCAAGAGCAAGGTTGATGAAATTTTACCAGGAGGAGGGAATGGGGAATGACCGTGTCCAGCCTTTAGAGATGGACAGCATCAATTGCAGATACAGCGCAGCCTGTGGCCAGCCCTTGAGGGTTGGCTAAGCAGGTAGATTAAATATTTGGCCAATCTGAACGTGGGTTTGGAGCCTGGGAGATACCACTCGGGAGAACAGGCGCCACGGCAGGAGAGGGGATAATGAAAGGGAGGTAAGGGACAACCAGGATTTGGACTCTGTGCTTGCTATGGACTGCCCAGAGGAGAGGGGCTGGTGTGACAAACCCACCCTCCAGCTCTGTCACTGAGAAGACCCTGCCATGCCGACCAACGAACATAACCCAGGCAGAAACAGTCAAAACTGAACGCTGGTGCCTCTGCACCCTTTCTGTGGGTGCTGAGGATGCTCACAGCACCGAGGAAGGATGAGCCTTTCCAAGCTTATCCATCACAGAGCCACCATGACTCTCCAGACAACTCAAAGCCGCTTGTGCTCAGAAAGAGCCAAAGCTCTGCGCGTTTTAGCTCACCCCCCCGAGTACCCCAGTCCCATCCGCACTCAGGGAGCAGCTAATGGTGCATGTGTTTTCCTAGAAGCAGACATGTTAATCACAAGGGTGTATTTTACTTTCTTACATCGTGGCTAATTTCCCATCTGTCCTAAGGCACTGTTGACTGTACACATGTGCCCATTGAAGCGCCTGCTCTTAATGAGGGGAACAGACAAACAAGAGTCCCACCGCTGCCCGGGTGCAGAGGTGCCTAGGCAGGAAGAGGGGCAGATGGCTGAATCGCTAAATGCCCAGGGCCCCTGCCACCATTTGCTCATTTTTGAGTAATCTCATTTTACATCAATGTTTCCTGCATTCATCTTCAGCTTCCAAACAGCCTTTCATCTCTGCGTGATTTATAAGCAGGGAGGTGAGATGCTCAGGTGTGTTGAAAACCAACTAAATTTCCGTCTGTGTGCGCACAAGGTGGCAGGCAAGGGGGTCGACAGCAGTCTCAAAGCCTGGTTGCGCCCCAAGCTCACACCACCCTCCTTGCTAATGAAGAGCTGAACTCAGGTTATCCACTGAACTGTGCAAACTGCTTCCACAGGAAAGTTCACCTGTGCTAAGACACCCCACATCCTTAAAAACCCTCCCTAGGAGGCATCCATCTGATGCCTTGGTGCTCACCCCAGTGAAAGAGGAGGGAGGGCAGGAGAGGAAACAATGAAGAGTAGGGCTGGTAGCGATAGGACAAGGGGTAGTGGATTTAAACTAAAAGGGGAGATTCAGACTAGATATAAGGAAGAATTTTTTTATGACGAGGGTGGTCAAACACTAGCACGGGTTGCCCAGAGAGGTGGTAGATGCCCCATCCCTGAAAACATTCACGGTCAGGTTGGATGGAAGTCTGAACAAGCTGATCTAGTTGAAGAATATTCCTGCCCATGGAAGGGGGTTGGACTAGATGGTCCCTTCCAACCCAAACCATTCTGTGATTCTATGATAAGAAGTGACATAAGCAAAGAGGAAGGTTATGTCCCCATACAAAGGACTGAACACCCACCAACCAGCAATCTTTCCAGTTCTATTTCTGGCTGATCATATTTTCTCTTGATGTTTTCCACTGAGATCACCTTGTGATTTATTTTATTTGTTGTAGTGCACACCTATTTTCAGATACTGCATTTTCCATCTTGCTTTGCATTGCCACATTATTTTCTGGGCTTTTTGGTTTTGTTTTTTTTGGGGGGCTAATTCTAGCCACAAACAAAGATAATGCAAGTCCTGGTGTTTTACAATACCCCTGAACAGCATGTCTGTCTCTGATCAATGATTTCTCATCTCCCTAGTGGCCTCAATGCCACCAAAATCTGGAGTCCTACCAACCACTGTTGGTTCTGGATTGGGCCTTTTAAACCACACATGAATTTTGGAGCTTGATCATGAACTGTGTCTCTGACTCTATGTATCCTACGTATCCAGCTGACAGGACCCTCATGACGCTCAACAAGGAAAAGGACAAAGTGCTACACCTGGAGAGGATCAGCCCCAAGCACCAATACATGCTGGAGGCCACCCAGCTGGAAAGCAGTTGGTGGAAGAGAACCTAGGGTTCCTGGTGGACACCGACTTGAACATGAGCCAGCAATGGGACCTTGCAACAAGGAAGGTAAATGGTATCCTCAGCTGTGATAGATACATTGCCAAAGGTGAGGGAGGTCATTCTTGGCCTCTGCTCAGCTCTGGCGAGGCCATACCTGGAGTGCTGGGTCCAGCACTGAGCCCAGCAAAGGGCCATGAAGATGATGAAAGGACTAGAACATCTCTGCTATGAGGAAAGGCTGAGAGACCCAGGACATTTCAGCCTGGAGAAGAGAAGGCTCAGAAGGGATCTCATCCATCGATATAAATATTTGAAGGGTGGATGTCAAAAGGATGGAGCAGAATCTTTACAGTGGTGCCTTGTGACGGGACCAGAGGCAATAGGCACAGATGGAAACACAGGAGGGTCCCTCTGAGCATCAGGAAACACTTTTCACTGTGAGGGTGACCGAGCAGCGGCACAGGTTGCCCAGGGAGGTGGCAGAGTCTCCATCCTTGGGTGTATTCAAAAGCCACATGGGCAGCTGCCTCTGAGTGCTCTTGCTTGAGCCGGGGGTTGGACCAGATGACCTCCAGGAAGAAAAAATATCGGTGATTTCTGACTGCCTGCTCTAAGCCATGGGCAGCTAGAGGGTAGGAGTCTAGTCACTCAAGAGTCGGTGGATCTGGTTAATGTTTCTGCGAGGGCTGTCCCCTGCAGTAGCACTGACCACATCGTAGTGACTTACATGAATTATTTGTCTCTTTCAGCTTTGTAGACTGGGCTCCTTTCAGAGCATAAGCAAAGGAGGGGAGAGAAGGTCCCCACTTTGTCACAGTGCCTGCTCATTTGGGTGATTTGGCCAGAATTTACAGAGAAATCAAAGAGCTTGAGCAAGACCAAGAAGGAAATCTGTAGCAGAGGAGAGACTTGGGCAAAGTCTCTTACACCATAGGTCATGTCCCTGGACTTTAACTAATTCTTTTCCTTCTGGAAACTCTTTCAGGTGGAAACTGGATCTTCCCATCTAGGTTGTTCCCACTGTTTATTCACTTCTTCCCTCTCCTCCTGCCAGAGGTCAATCTCTGTTCCCAAACCGCCAGGAAAGTTAATACCTGACACGGCACAGCCCTGCTCTCCTGCACTCCAGCCCCAAAGTGCTTAAAGGGGCTGGGGTTGATGTGCAGAGGGCTGGCAGTCTCTTCCTTCCTGACTTGGCTGCGTTGTCATTTCCCCCCCCACCGGATGGCATTTGCTGCTCTGGTCTTTCTGGGTGAGTTGAACCTTTAATAATTGTCAAAGGACTTAAAGGTCCAGCCAAGCCGGTCTGTGCGTAAACATCTAAGCGAGACAAGTGCTTGACCCAAAGCATTCTTGGTGAGACAAGACCAGTTTCTCATCTCGGAGATGTGCGAGGGATGCCAAATCACGGTCTGAAGGCAAGGAGCTGTTAGAAGCTCAGGGCTGTGCTCTTCAAACTGAGCCATGGGCTTCCCCGAGCTTCCCCTTGACATGGTCAGGATACCGACCGGCTTCTTGGGCACTGACAGCAGTAGTGACCCCTTGTCAAAGGCGCTATGAGACCTTCCAGATCCCAGATCTTGGGTGCTATTGGCCTTCCCAACAAATGAAATGAAATTTGTGATTTGAAGGATGAGGTCTGTCTTGTGCTTCTCCTTCATGGAAAAATATCTTGATTGATACAGTTGGAAATCCCCCTTTATTCTGTCTATTCAAACACGGGTCCAAGACATGGGTGAAACCCTGCCCATGGGTGAAATCCTGCCAAGACATGGCGGGCCCTGCTCCATGCACTGTCAGCCGTGTTAGGGCAATGCAGGTGAAAACTTCCAGGAGTTCTGATGAGAACCCACATACTGGTGAGAATCTCAGACAAATGAATTCAAATTAATTTTAAACTGGATTAGTTAAACTGCATTAACATCCCAAGTACATGCTCTTAGCTGCAATTAAAGGGGCCTTCGTTTAGTATTTGTTTTGTTTTGTTTTGTTTTAATTCATTTTGGAGTGGAATGAAGCTAATTGGAATTAGGGCTCCTGAGTGACTGCATTGGCCAGGGAGTTCAGCGCTGGTTTAATGAAGCTGCTTTAATTCACCTGTTGAGATGGGGCTGGCTTTTTCTGGTTGTCCCCTACGGACCGTGGGAAGAGGGAGGATGAGGGATTCCCTGTGCAAGGCTGGTGCACTAAGGCTTAAAGTAAGTA